CCCGGCACTCAGCACATTTTCCCAGCGTGCTGGCTGCTCCGAATATTGTCGGAACATTTAACATCCCCTTTTAAGAAAAAAATAAAATAAAATAAATAAAATTAACAGTGCAGTTGGCAGATTGCTGGAGGCACTGGGGAGCCGCTCCGCGCTGGGAGCTGGGCTGCTGCAGTTTCGTGGCAGGAGTTTTTGCCTCTCTTGTCAGCTCATTAGCTGGGGCAGACCCCGATGCCTTCGGAGCCGCAGGGAGCCGGGGCCCGCTCATTCCCGAAACTCGAATTATGAGTGTTTTGTTTCCTAAGTGTTATTAACGCTGTTGGCTGTGCACGGGACGCGCGGCACCAGCAGCAGGGGATGGTCCCGGTCCTGCGTGGGTTTGTCTGGGATTGACGGGCAGGGATTGTCAGGGGAAGTTTAGATTTTTGTTCCTGTGAGGGAAAATTGTGATAGGCGGGTTTGTGACACTGCTGGGAAGCAGGCAGGAAGGGGGATGTACCTCTGGAACACCTCTGGCAGCCCCCTGGGGCAGATGTGGCTGCGGGGAGATGCCGGGCTGGTGCTGGAGGATGCGCTCCCGAGCCGAGGAGATGTCGGGGGACCACGGGGATGTTGTCCCCTGTCACAGCCCGTCCAGCCACGGGTTTCCAGTGTTTACATGAGCCCTCTCCCAGCCTGAGCCTCCCGCAGCGGCAGCGTGGGGCTCCAGCCTTCAAAATTTAAACCAAAGCAGAAATTCAGCTTTCAGCGAACTCGAGAAAGTGTATATCCAAACAAAACTGTGCTAAATAAAGGACGAGCCGCAGGCGGCCGCCTGCTCCGGCACATCCACTTTGCTGCCTTTATTTAGCTGCCGTCTCCCCAGGCTGCCGCTGCCGGCCTGGGACGGGGGGGTCTGTCCCTCTGTCCCTCTGTCCCTCTGTCCCTCTGTCCCTCTGTCCCTCTGTCCCTCTGTCCCTCCAGGAGCTCCGGGAAGGACTCGGTCCGGGAATGTGGGGTCCCGCAAGGGAAAGGGGCTGTGCCACGAGAACTTCCCGGTACCCAAAACGGAGCCGGCTCCTTGGATCTGTCCTGGCATCACCCTGCAGCAGAGGGGTCCCTGAAACTCTGTGAGACATGGGAGAAAAGGGAAAGGGAAAAAAGGAAAGGGAGAGTGGGGAAGGAAGGAAGGAAGGAAGGAAGGAAGGAAGGAAGGAAGGAAG